CTCTCCCCATCAGCCAGGCCTGGGAGGGGCCTGGGAGTGGCGGGGAGCAGAAGAGAGAAGCCTGGAAGGGAAACAGGGGGGGGGGGGGAGGCCCCACCCACTTTTAGGCCTAAGGCAGCACTGAGCTGGGAAGGTGAGAACCTTAAATCTAATGCAGTTAGAAGTTTTGATTACTTCACTGGATTAGAAAATTTCATAACTAAAATGAAACCTTTCTTGAGATTGAGGGGCCGAGAAAAGCTATGGGACTTGCTTACATTTTCCATTAAGCCAAAGGAAAGACCTAGCCCTCCAAGTGGGATGGAAGGGGCAGCTTGATTAAAATGAAGTTGCTTTGTGATCACATCCTAGTGATGAAATAGGATCAATTCAATGAGGTGGCCACATGAACAGCTCCTCATTTCATCCCCTGAACAGCTCTCCAAGCAGGTACCACATGTGACCACATTGTATAGATGAGGACACTGAGGTCAAGTGAAGCTTTATCACTTGTTCAAAATCAAATAGCTAGAAAGTGTATTAAAAATTAAAATCCATTTGTCTCCACTGGTTCCAAAGTCCAAGATCTCAAATACTTCCCCCAAACTCCCTCTTGGAGTGCCAGGTTGCTCTACTCCTTGTCCAGTGGCCTTATTAAACACTCAGCACTACATCCTCCTCGCAGAAAACGAGCCTGATTATTTTTTTGCTCTGGCTTGGGTATTGTATACATCTCACTGCATATGTCTTGGGACTTTGATTTCTTACATCTTAGCTATAACCTCTGTCCTCTTTCCCAAATTATGTCCACACTTGTGCTGGCTAGCCCTGTTCCCATCTGTTTCTCCCCCTGAATGCCATCTTAGCATTTAGGGGGTTTTGCAAGATTGCTGCTGAGTGGTTGCTTCTTATGTCTACCAGCATTTCCGTTTAGCTGATTGAAGGTCTCCTTGACCTTAAATACTGCTGCCGAGGCTAATGAAAGCATCGCTTATTTGTAAAGAGGTTTTAGATAGGACTCTCTTTTTCCTACCTTTTGGCTGAGACTTCAACAGGTCAAGAACAAAACCATGTGCCAAAGTGAAATATTAGGTCACTTAGGTAAGACCCTCTAAGAAGATGGTAACCTTAGGCCACCACTTGCATGCAGGATGTAAGAGGATTGAAATCCAAGAAACCAAAAGAGGAGTTTGAGAGTAGAGACAGGGTTTTGGAAAAGGTGTGTTAAAGTCTCATCTGCCTACCCCCATGGGTGCCTGGTGAAGTTACAGATATGAAGTTCTGGGGATCTGTTTGAAGCAGCAGAGCAAAGAAAGATGGGAACTAGCTACATGCACATTATTGGAGGGACAAGGATAAGTGAGTACTCAGGGCCAGATGTGGTTTTGGAGATTAGTTGTGGGCCATTTGAAGAGAAAGACCACCTGAGGCATTTCAGAGCCTGCCTAAGAGCACCTCACGTGGGGGTGGGAGGGGGATTGGCTATGTCCACGGGGGCTGAAGCAGTACATTTAAGTCCAGCCAGTGGCATCCTGTGTCATAGAACATCCCATTGAATGTTCCCAGAAAGGACTGCAACATCTTCTAGAACTTCCCAAGAAA